GTAGAATTTCTGTTGAATGTACAGACAAGAGTCGTCACGATTGATAGTACGTTTGCTGTAGTGGAATTCGCATTGGGGCAAACAGTACAGATTTTAAGAGTTTTATCCAAAAGCCCAAACAATACTCCACGTATCTAATTGCATTCTTTTGCACATATAGTAAGTACTCACAGCTGAACAATACCCTGACAAAGGTAAAACTGGTGGGCGGCCTTTTATACACTGTTGGAACAATCAAATTCAGATTTCTATTGCCGTTTCCACAATGTGCCAACTAAGGTTCGATTTTTAACCTTCCAGGAGCTGACTAATGGTTAAGATCCGCACAATTAAATCAAAGTTATGTGAATAAAAATGCGATGCTAATAGAGTTTAGGTAGAGTGTAGGGTTTCAAATAGATTGCAAAATGGCTGCATTCCAGAACTATCCCATTGCCAGAGAGGTAGTATCTTGAGAGGGAGGTACCTCCGGTAAGATGGGAGCCTGCTTAGCTGTGCTGGACCGCACACAGTGGGAAGAATCCTCTCGGTAAAACAGACTGCTAACGAGCTTTTGTCTAGTTCAAGAGAATATAAGATTTGACCCATGGGCAGGTTCTTCAGCCTTAAATACCCTCTGAATGGCCCGTGGGTTGCTCAGAAGAAAACGAAACAAACCTTACCGTGGGAGTGAAAAGTGTTGAATTGTTCTGGAAGTCCCATCAGTCGAACGACAGACAGCTTATGGTAAAATTGTTCTGCGCTTTCCATTGGCTGGCTTGCTCCATGACTGTCTTGCTGGGTATACGATGGTCAAATTCACTTATCACTGGATTCCCAACATGACAATCTTCAATTCAAAGCAGTTACGAAAAGTACTTGGTGTACGTTCCTTCATAACAGCTGGCCTCTACATTCCCTGCAAAGTAAAGTTAGGAAATAGTCCACACGAAAGCACATATCCCTAAAACAGAACGCCTCCAGGAATAGTGCGCTTCCTGCGGGTTTCGAGGGTTCGCGCTCTTCAGGATGCATTCTACACCGAAAGACATATCAAGGGTAGGTTTTACAGTGCACGCCACTTCCGTTTAGGACCCGAATGCACTGTGAGAATAACCCACGTTTGCTGTCAGACTGCAAACTTCACCTAGCTAAGGTTGGGACCACTCACTGATACAAACAGGGGTTCTATAAAGGTGGTGCAGCTGGGGAAAATAATGAGATCTACAGTCTGTTTTTTTCAGTAAAGTAGCCCAATGAGTGACTAGTTGATGTGTGCCATGGTTTGCATGCAGTTTTCATAGCTGGACATCTCGAAGTCATTGAAGTCTCCACACTGCACACTGTTTCCTTGGATTGATTCGTGTGATTAGATGTTTTGCCTCAAAGAGAGGTATGCCAGGAAAACTAAAAAGCGCACTTTTTGGACAGTTTTATTCCACAATGTGAATTCAAAATGAAAATATGAAGAGCGTAACACAGCTATTTCGTATAGGTTGAAGACCGTGAGTAGTGCAGAGTCTGCGAATCCCGAGAGAAAAGAAAATCGTTAATCTCGAAAGCAGAAATTAATTTCTACCACTTCGTTGCAGCCTACTGATTATCATTGTTATCGGCGTACATCTGAACGGGATATCATGCTACTCCTCATTCAGGCCCAGTTTGTCACGTGGTCCGGTTCACCTAACTCCCTGAATGACGACCTCCTGAAAGAAGACTCATGTAAACCTTGAATCCGTCGGCTCCAGAAAAGTGAAGTTGAAATCGCACATGCGCTTTCTGTTGACCTAGAATAAACCTGTTTTAGCAAGCTGTGTATCTTGGCTCCTTCTTGGCAGATGTACGCACTACGACCGGCTTAGCTTAACTCGGTTCTGCTTCCATGTGCACCTGTTCAATGACTCATGCGATTAAACCATATGAGTTTAATGTTCATGCTTTCATGAGAACCAACTGACCGATCAAGAGAAATTTCTCTCCAAAAACACATTTTCTCCACTGGTGCACTTTAAGCTCACAAGTAATCGATTGCGTTGGTGGCTGTGATTGGTCTCATGTGTAAAACCACGAAAGAATTTTGGAAGAAATATCTGTAGACGACTGCATCAGCTGACAGGGGACAAAATTTATTTCCGTTTTTTCAGGTAGGGCGAATCCATGGTGCGGTTTAGAAACTCTTTACTTTTATTTGTCCGTGCAAATGATGAATTACTGAGAACATAGAAAGTAGGCAACAAAGAAGGTTGAAGGGGGTGGGTAAGGCCTTGACAATTTTGCGCTGGGATAAAGAACACCATTGCCAATGATTTGATGAAAACCCGGCAACTGATTTAGAAAAATGAAAACTCCATGTAGTCTGCATTAGTTGTCCCTTCTTGTCCGTGCGTCAAACGGAGCATGTAGTCAAAGGGAAGAAACTGACGCTGGTCCTTGGGCCGTTTTAAACTGCAACCTTCATTCTTCTTCATAGGTAGGGCCACTGCTGAACAAGGTGGATTCTCTAGACAAGCAGAGATAGCTCTGAAATTCAACAATCTCCTTCGTGTGTTCGTAGTTGAGTGGTTTGAGGATACTCTGTTTGTCTACAACCTAAAACGTCTCAGCGTTCCAACTCACCTCTATGAGATGAATGACTGATGACGCCGCTGAACATGGAAAATGAAACCTAATAAACTAGTACTTGACGGATACCAGATCAGGGTGCGGTAGGAACAGGCTTATCCAACGCGTACAAATGGTCTTGGAAAATGTCTGCGGCCAGACAGTTGCACAAGCAGTCACTCCATAAGGCGCACACTGCATTTCGGATTCTTCTGACCACATCATATTCTGACACCAAATCGGCAATTTTTCATCACTTTTTCCGTTACTAGTGCTATTAATCTCGAAGATTTATCTTCGGCAACACCGAAATTCCATCCAAACTAATGCTATCAACTGAATAAACTCTTTAATTTATTTGCGCACTACTTTGCTTCTCACTAATTCTTCACGTAAATGTCAACTTTTTAAAAGTAGCATTAGCATTCACTGCGATGACAACGGTAACATGCTCAGTCTATTCAACTCAAATCAGATACGGTCTATGTTTATGCTACATGTGGTGAATAGGCTCACGATTCCGTTAGACTTTTGCTGCTTCTCTAGCTATGCACTAGTCCGTGAGCTAACAGAATCACAAACAAATGGCAGCTCCGCGCCTAGTTCCTAAATAAAATGCGCCTGTACGTGGGGATTAGAAATTATCACATGTTACATTTCTCACAACTCACTCACTCAACAGAGTTGCTACCGTTGCTATACCAACTGAATAACAATTAGGAAGAACAACGTACGTATCTCTATTTATAGCCTCGGGTTATTGATTATAACAGGAAGTCTGTTTGGGCATTACGGGGAAAGGGGCCTTTTGGTCTCTCCTAGAGGTGCAACTTTTGTAAGATTGTGACTGAAGAGGAACGCCACTGATTTCACTCTATCGGAATAGTCAATCTTTAAACGTTGAGTGCAGGTTACTTCATCTTTAACCAAGTTTCATTTTCTCGATCTATAAACCTTCTTTGGAAGTATGAACAAAATAGTCAGGTTTTACTCCACTGAATTCTACGAACCGAAAACGACGTCGAAGAGCACTCCAAGTCCAATCATGGTGATAAGAACTTCAAAAAGCACCGCAATTTCTTGTAATAAGTAATCGTGTTACACTCATTAATTTATATCTCTTTGTTCGAATGCATGTTGGTCTGTCCGTAGGTCTGTTTATTTTTGTTTCATTTGTTGTAGCAAAATCACACTTTCACTTGTGATGTTGGGTGTGATAAAATTGTCATTCATAGCTAAACCATGAAAAAGTGGGGTTCTCACATGGCGTCACATCAGCAAACTGGTACCCCGGGGGTGTTTCTTCCTAAAGAATGACGAAACACAGCTGCATACAGAACAGTCCAACCGTATGTTCAGTGACCGTTCTCACTGCGGAAGACACAAAGCTCTTCAGGATGAATGTATAAAGCTGTCAAATGCATGAGCATCCCTTATTCATTGGTTTAGCCCACCTGACGACATTCCAAAATTATCTTTGTATTATTTCTCGTTTTCTGAGGACTTCCGTTCACTATTCACTGATTGTGCGCTGGCTTGCTCGTGATTTACTCGAGACATTTCACAGTGAGTGAAGTCAGTAAGCCCTGTCATCACTGCTGGTAATTATTCGCAGTGTGTATCTCAGGAATCTTTGGAGGGATTCAAGCGTGCGGCCCATCAAGTAGTGATCGAAGTTTAAACTATTCGCCCACTGGTGACCGATCAGCACTGTGATGAACTCAAACTGATTACTGGCAACCGAGCGGATGGAAATTCCCATTTTCTACATTGACTGAAAGGTGTGACCATCCATCTAGTACAATTGCTGACAGGCAAAAATTCCTCAGGTTTGTGTGCCAGAATCAGCTGCTAGCAGACTGAAGTTGGACAGGTCAGCGCTCAGTTAAAATGCCGCTGTAGACGGTAGCGTTAGCCAGATCAATTCATAGGTTTAAGCTGATATTCCTTAAGTTGCCAAGGATCAAACTGCTACATAACCAGCTGCCCCAGGTGGGACTGCTCGCGGGACCTAGTCTAGGTGGCCTGCTTGAGGGCGAAGTTCAAATTTGAGAACTATCGAATTAACAGTTTACCAGCAAAAGTCCGCGCGCTTTACAGTCCACGTCTCTAATGTTTGAACAGGGGCTACAGATGATGACTGTGAGTACGGCATAGGTGTAAGAGTCTGTCACTTTGCCTACGCGATAAGAGTGAGCTGTAACAATCGGAGGGTGGTGATGCAATGCTGTTGTCATTCGTTGATATTCCCATCAAAAACACTAATCATGATAACGCATAAGTTTACAGAATATATGATACGTTAAAATCAGCTTCCGACAGTTTTTCCAACATCAATCAGTATGAGAAGAAAGCGGAGTTCCCAGTCTGGTCCATAAAAATCAGTGGTTTCTTCTCGGGAAGAGAAGCCTGCCTGGGTGGAACAATTTACTAGCCATACACCAATAAAAAGATCTGAGTGATTCCCAATTTTATTAGAAAAATACGGTAGACTAACCGTCGGATAAAAAAGTGTTTCAAGAAAAATCAGTGATATAGTGCACAAGAAGCACATTCATTGGCTTAATAATGACGCTGGTAAATGACGCAAGACAGGATAACTAAGGTGAGTGGCGAAAAGTCTCTGGATATTGTTGAAATGACCACACCAAATAGGTTTTGAATAATCTGTTTTAAATAATGGCAGGTCTACGGTTCTTTGTTAACATCACGGGCCATTTTAGCGTAATCCAATCGCTTCCGTTCACAGCCTCGAATAATGATGAAGATCATTGCACAAATGAGAGCCACAATGAGCAGTCCGAAAACCACGGTAATGGTGATAGTTGCAACACTCACTGAAGGTCAAGAGTAAAATATGGTAAAATGTACATATTTCATAACGCCTGGCACGCAGCATAGTAACAGTCTAAAATTCAACATTACGATGACAAACATCAACTTCAGCATGACACTCGGCCGTTTTCCGCCTACATGGACTACCCTTTGAGGAAGCCAAAGGGATGTGTATTGAAGACCTCTATAGAAAGAAACGCACTGACCCTAAGAGTTGTTCTTTTCGGGATAGTTTGTCTTCTTTTTTCAAAGAAAACGAAACCGCTTGATCCCTAGAACTTTATTTTACGGAAATAACTGCGCCATCTCACGTCCCGTGAAAACCACTCTTGTTTCTCAACTTCCAACCATCAATGTTCCTTAGAGGTTTAGCGGCGCGAGAATAACTACCACTTTTTGTCTGATGTTAGGAATGTTTTGAGTCAAATCGGATTACCATTAGGAGCAATATCGTCAAAAGGCTTTCCGAGTTCGAATTACACAAGAAAACGTATCTAGCAACTACCTATAACACAAGGTATCATGATGTACCACATCAATACTAATGGAGGATATATTTCAAAATAGTAGCCCCTTTTCCAACCTTGGGTTTTAGACATGTATCTTCATAGCACTCAAGAATTTTTAAACGGACGTGTGGTTTGAATTATCGGTGCTATTCGGTCAATCTACTGTGACCGTCAAGCTGGTTTTAAAAGTTATTGTGCACGCAAATTGTACGGAGGCCAGCCATCCCTAATAATCGAACACCACATCTTTTGGACGGATTTGTCACGCACAGGACACGGGCCTAACGAAGGCATGCCCTGATTGGTCAGCATGCCAGCCAATCCGAGTCAAGCACCTTTGGCTCGACGCTTCTCGCTCCCTCACAGAGATTCCGGCACGACCTTGTGGAACACTGTGACTACGCTATGAATACAGTTGTAATAATTTTCCTTTTGTCTCCATAATGGGCTGTGTAGAGCTACCGTGCCCTTTGATATACCATAGTGGGCAGAGCAGGAAGCCAAGGGACCGATACAGAGTTGCACTGCTGTTCAGCAAGACAACACAAATACTCAGAAATCAACCAACGAGTTTCTCCCTAAGAATACCCCAATTCAATGCTGTACTTAATTTGCATGTTTTAAGTGCGCCAGTGGATAAAGCGAAGAAAATGCCAACATATAAAAGTATATCCAACAGGAAAGTACGTCTTTGTTGACGCATATTATAAACTACGAATAAAATGTGGTCAGCTTCCGAGAAAGTAAGCGGAAAGCATTCCATCATTAACTTGACTTATCAGATGAGTGTGGAAGATTATTCTTTAGCTAGAATCCTCGTGTACTCTGTGAGTTGAACAATCTGACCATTCAAGTCAGTGAAACAACTCATCTTCCAAATCGTTCATGGGGCTTCTGACAACAGAGCCGAAGGGCACATCTCTCAGGAAACTTACAACTGGGAACTGTGCACCATGCATCGGAATACGTAATATTGATTAGCGTACTTCTTTTTCGATACCGGTTTGTTTCAGCCGACTGTTTTATACATGCTGCCTGTTTCCCACCCGTGTAGTTGCGAGTAAAGACCGAATATTAGGTATATCCCGTTCTCAGTAATCCAGCTGACCTACCAGCGCAAAAGCTCCAACACACGGATGAAAAATCAACCAATCAACAATGCTTGGGACGAAAAAGGGAGCTAAGATCAAGCTATACAACCGTTCCCACGTTGCTCGGGTATTATGTAACTGAGCGCGAAAAAAGCGAAAAAAAGTAAGAGTAGTGAAAGGATTGTCGACCAGTGGTTTGAGGTTTGTCTTCAAATGCTCGGCAAAGGCGAAGATGATACCCTGTCAATCGCCTTAATTGCTCCTTCGCTGCAGAGTTTGAGAATGACTGAATCTGCCTCCGTAGCCTTCTTACAGGTTACGGTTATCGGGTAATCGACATAAAGATATGGAAGCTTTCCGAAAGATTCTAAGGCATTTCGATTCCTTAATCCATACTGGTTTACTTATGTTCAAACAGATGATTAATTCTTGATGGAAAGTGCACGGTAAAGCTATTCGCACCTTCAAAACAACGCCAAAATCCGTGCTTCTGATCAATGGTCCGCATAATGGTCAAGCAAAGGATCTAATATTTTTCACCATTATTAGTTCTTAGTCGTATATTCCATTTTGCAATAGAAAAAACCGTGCAATATAAAGTTGGGAGTTTATTACCATTCGTCTTCCTAGGAAATCCTACCCATTCTAATGAAAAAATGCTCCTTGACAGTATCTGGTCTTCGTTTGGGAAGAGGTTAATGGAGATCTGCAGTACGTATAAGCCCTATTGAGTCGACTATATACTTGCTGACAAGACCAAATGCTTCCGTTCCTTAGATTTCTTGAGTCTGATTGAAATTCCTTGGACCCAGTGCTGGCCGAAGTTTAAAAAATCTCTCGGTGGGGACTTTTTGTGCTTTACGGTCTTCAAATTCAAATTCACTCGACGAATAACCGTTGAATGCTTTGTTCACGGGTAGAGTGTCACGTAGAAACTACCTCAGAAAACCTATAGCTGCAAAACAATCACAAAATGGCCCATAGATCCTTATCCATTACCAGCATCGCACATGTCATGCTCTCCTTCTACAAACGGCCACTTTGTCATGCTAGTATAAGACACTGTAATTTTAGTGACCCACTGCTCAATACTCATTAGACTTAGTGCTCACGCTCTACAACGAGGAGTTGGCCGCCCAATGATTTGCCGACCATGACCAATTACGACTTCTTGTGAAAATGCCTGTGAAACTTCACCCACTGCCACTCTACTGAAAATAAACCGTAATTTTTGCAACCCAGAAATGTGGTTAGATGTCCAGAACACCATTCTCAGCCTAAACAAACTGAAACATAATATATGTGTCAGCAATCTCTCGAGGGTTACTTACGTTGACAAACTCGTTCTGAACGTGGATTGCTGCCTTTCGGTGCGTACATGAGGTCACAAACGCAGGTATAAACACCCGAATAAACTTTTTTGCAGCTTGAATGTAGGCCGCATCCCCCAGGACACAGTTCCGTCTGCGCGTCTGAAGTAGCACAGAAGTGGAAAAGAAAACAACGTTACCTCCACCATAACGTTTTGACTTTTTGGATGTTAAGTCGCAACCCTGAGAAAAAATTCCTCTGCATTGTTGTAGTCTTCAGACAATATAGTCGTCCTTGCTTATGGATGTAACAATTGACGATATTATTCGAGTAAAGCACTTTCCAGGCTATCAGTGGCCAAAGTTCTTCTAACCTTTCACGTCACTTAGCATAGAGATCTCGCATTCTGAGTATGCAAACAAATTGAACTGCTTTCTCGTACTATCTCATAAAGTGAGGCCCTTGGTAAATGCATCTACCTAGCAACAATAAGGGGAATATTCTCGACATTTCACGACTTTTCAGGCCTAACTACATTCCGCTTCTGTGTGTAGCCAAACAGCAAACGCGACTGGGGTTTGGAATCAACAAAAACCGGATGCAACAGATATATTGTGACTATCCTGGTTTGGGGCGTAGAAAAGAAGCGACAAATTCCATAGTCGTTGCACCCCACAGTTTAAACAGGAAAGAGGCTGAGAAAAGGGAAAAACGTCATCCAGAAAACCCACCGCTTCAAAGGCAACAGCGACCTCTGTAACAAGTCAGACGTCTTCTTGCTTACTCCAAACGACCGGGTATTCTTTTACTAGGACGCTTCATGTGTGGTTGTTGGTCTGTTTCCAAGCCTGGTAGTTTGGTTTCAAACGTTTTATCAGAAATCCAACTGCCAAGCTCCGTGAACAGACCACGAACCACCCGAGCTAACTATATTCAGCAACACCGCTAAGCCTCAAGTAATTCTTGCGCAGAAAATAAAATTATGACAATGGACAGTTTTCGTGAGGACGAATTCGGCCTACACTGACTTCTCCTGAAGTAGCCACTATGGTCGTCGGAAAGAATCGTCCACCTATTGGGATTGTCTATAATTAGGTTGTGAAAGTCTGGCCTTTTTGTGGCAGAAAAAACAAAACTAAAGAGGTTCTTGTGAGATCTAAGGTACACTGTCCGTGTGATAGTAGAGTGGTAGGGGATTAGGCTAGCATGGAGGCACTATTTAAAAGAACGGATACATTCTGTTGTGGTGAAGTTACTACCCAGGAATTTGGAAGTTCGTAAGCAGCAGGTGGTCGCACCGCGGCCTTCTGGAAGAATGACAAACAAACTGGATATCCCCTGGCATCTAAATTTTTCAAAGTCAGGTTTCTACAGCGTTGCTTGGTTCTTAAGATAGATTAAGGGTTAGGCGTGAACTTACTGTCTAGGAATCCCGTGGATCGAACCCAACCCCGGCATCTCGACGGCTTTTGTCTAAGCTGGGCAACCTGGCAGTATCACAGCCCTCGTGTTTCCTTTGGGTGGTGTGCTGCTAGACACCAAAAAACTGCTGCGGCTGAATTATAATTATTATTGTATTGTGATCAATGCTTCGTATGAGATACTAACGGTCGTTGCTTTAGAGAAAAACTGAAGGTTACCGTGAAATCTCTTGGTTTCATTGTCACCTCAGATGGTTATAGGCCTCAGTTCCACAAAAGTCCGGCTAGATTGGAAATTTGCCTCGCTGCATATTTGCTTAAAGAATATCGAATAAATAATACGACCTTACCTTAGGAAGCTCAAGGGGCACAAAAGATTGTTACTTTCAGGTGGATCAATACAAGCAAAGTAAAATTAAAACTGGCGTAACATACTGCTTTGCTTATCGATTTTGCACTAGAGAGACTCTCGGATATCACTTTTGTTCATAGTTGCATTCAAATGAAAGTACTGCACAATGGTATGATATTCAATGTACGGTAGTATGTATCCTAGATAGAGCATATTGCGAAACCTCGAATACCATACAATGGGAAACCAGAGGTGGCTTTTGGGAGGCGCAGACAACCGAACAATGTTATAAATGAGAGATTCAGCTGGTTAGAACCAAACTGTTTTGCAAACGGTTTTCCTTCACAAACTGCGTACAATTTTATGTTCGAGTACATTATAGGGTTGATGAATACTCGAGGACCGCGCCTACGTTGGGAGCCCCAAGAGAAAACTGTTCGCGGACTGTCAAACATTTTTTACAAGTTTGTGAGCAGTGTGTCTCGTCCAAACCAATAGCTGTTGTTCTAGAACTTGTGTTAAAAGGTCTTGATATATTTCTCCTATGCGGTAGCCATTTTTCAGTTCTACCGGTCGTTGGGATGCTTGATGTGATTGGGATACTGAGAGCATCTTTACGAAGTATATTGCGTGCCCCCATTCACGGGTCAAAAGTATACTCCTATGGTAATAATATTCTCACATAAAGTACAACCAGCAAGTTGGCAGAGGGACAGACGACCTAGAGAATAATTCCCAGAGTAGGAGAGTTTTGGGCCCCAGGACCATTACTAACACCTTGTGTTTCCAGTTCACGAAACCGAACAACAAGATCTGAGCGAGCGTTTTCCAAACAGTTCTCATTATCGCGGCACCAGCATGTGCGTTTGTAGCAGTTTTGAGTTAAACCCGTCAGACAAAGATACTAAGTTAGCCATTATTTAGCACAATATCAGGAGTCTTAATCAATATCAAGTAATTTCTATAGTTTTGCAGTCTTGCCTATTCTATAATTTACTCTGCTAAATAATGACTCGTGACAGTGAGCCGCGTCACAGCCATGCGCAGCTGCATTTATGACGTACACGGGGCGGCGTTTTGACAATAGATACAAGACATTTTCGAGGACACAGTCTAGTGTACGTGAGTGTCAAGGCACTGAGAACAACAACTGAAGGGGCTAACAAATTGTTTTCGTCACCATATTCACGTGTGATAAAAACACGTATAGCTGAGATACTGCGGTGTCATTTCACTAGTGCCGAATTCCATTAATTTAGGGAAAGTTTCGTGATGCTTCCAGTCAGTCTAATTGAAAATTATTCTGAACGTAGAGCATTTGATAACATACGAAGCTTTCCTTTTTTTGTGAATAGCCCTAGAGTGTCATATCCATAAGTTTTCTCCAAATCAAATGAACAGGCTGGTGGTGTAGGTGATTTTATTGACTATTCCAGATATATTGAGTTCTTGAAATTCAACACCTTTTTACGAATTCCTTAACTTTTTTCTAATTTCATATCTCTGTGATAGCTCACACACCACGATCTTTGTCAATCATTAGCTGCCGATCAACTGCAGTTGCGCTCTAACCTCATATTTACAGCCAAGAGTAAAAATAACCCGCCTGTCGTATGAAAATTGGAACATGAAGGCGATAGTTCGGGTGGCAGGGAGTGAAGATTTCGTCTTCGAGCTTCTGAAATTTCCCTCCACTTTCCTTCATCTGGCTTCAAGTCTTCATCGTCTGAGACAAAATTTAGCGCTGTGGAACGCGTCGTCGTCAGGTGCTTCGCCTAATACTTATGATTGGGTGACCGTCAGCAAACGAGTGCCCACGCTCATGCGCAAGTCAAAACAATGGAACACCAAAGGTGTACGTCTCCTGCAAAGAGGTGGACAGGTGAGCAGGACAACTAATGAACATATAGCGAGTGGAATAAAGGCTGTCTTGCGCAGAAAGATTAGGTGAGCTTGCAAGCGTCCAAAGTGAAATTTTGACGGAATATAGCTGTAATGCCTACCAAGACAATTCTACAGAAAAAGATGAGAGCTTGCAAAATCCTCATTGTGCACTCTGATATGAAGTAATCTGGCTTATACAATGTGAATGGGATTTAGGGTTGTTGTTTATGAGCACTATGCTGACCACCGTCTTTGAAGCCGGCGGAAGGAGTAGATTGTAAGCGTTGGAAATTTTTTCATCGAAAGATGGTGTATCAGAGGCGTGTGTGCAAAAGCCATTCAGTAAATCTTGGGCAGAATAGGTCAGCTGACCCTCATCTTTTTCAAGCAAGGCGTGTGATGATAGACACGAAACATGCATTTTCTGGTAGTGGGTTTCGCAGAGTCACACAAAGGACAACCGATCCATGTGCATACGTAAGGTAGGTTTGGTATTCAAACAGTATGAGGTATAAGAGGCGAAATGCAGGATACAGGATGGAAGTTCACGAGGCGTAGAACTGTTCAAGATGTAAAACTGAAAGGTCAAAAATTCCACTGAGCGTTTGTACGAGTTCTCTGAATCCCGATCAACACTTTCAAGTGGCAATAACGGTGGCCAATCCAACTATATGGAGTTCATCAGAAAGTTAACAAATGTGCTTTTGGAAACAGGATGCCAATGATAAGTAATCTGATGACCTTAATAACTTGAAAACCAAAGTTGTGTTGAAAAAGTTAATACGGACATAAGTACTAGGAACGGCAGGAACCGGAAGAGGACACAAGAACATGAGGTTTAGAGGAACTCGGAGACTACACCTGCCTGGTAAGTCCCATCGGGGGCAAGACCAGCCCTGGACCGTGGAGGAGTTTTCAGTAGCCATACAAGTGACGTGTCATCAAGAAAACCCAAGAGTGTACATACAGGAGAGTATATGCCTAAATGCATTAGGGTATGGTCAACAAACTGCAGATATGTAGCCTGACTCATCTACAAGTTCAGAAGAATTAGACGAACTCAGTGTATTTTGCAGGTATCTGCATCGAATTCAGTATGAAAGTGTCGTTTACATTTTACTAATTGGTATGGTATTCCTTTAGAATTTTTAGGGCAGAACTTTTGTACCAAGACATTCAGTTATCTGTTGGTAATTGATCAGGTGGCTGTTGATCTGTTCGCCGAGTTTGGCAATTGATTTGCAAGTGTTTCGTCACCATTCGAGGAAACATCTTCAGTGCGCTGTTGGTTGGTTAGTTCCTCTCTTCGTGCTTGCGTTTATATAGTCTACAAAGAGCAGCCTTTGCGCTGTAACCTGGATTCTGATTGGCCTGTTCTTGATCTGTATTGCGTCGTGGTCGGCTTCTCTGTTGGTTTGTGGCGTGCCTCTTATTTTTAGTAGCCTGCTGTTCTGTTGATTTCTTCTTTGATTCCTTGTTCGGCCTCGGGTTCTGTGGTTCTGGA